TTTTTGATTAAGGAAGTCCTTTAAAGAACATATTAATTATGCACCTTATGTATTCTATGCGGCTGAAGCAGCTGTGTGGATAGAGACCAGCCAGTTGTGTTGAATTAACAGAGTACAGCTGTGATTTAAAAAAAAAAATAGTGCATCCTATCTTCAAAAGAAGAGGAAATCAGAGATAATATTTCATCTGCAAATATGGGAGCTTTGGATGAGTGTCAGGGCAGGCAAGTGTTTGGGACGTGGCGCGAAGGTTGTATTCCCTGGAACGTTTCCCAGAAGGACTTCCCATATTGGCGGCAGGTGGGTAATGTGTGGGACATTCACCATCCACACCAAGCAGAGGTCACACATCAAGCGTGGTCAGAGACTGTTGTCTGCTTTTCAGTTGTCCTGAGAATACTTCCAAACTTTTGGGGTTGGTGAAGCCCTGGGTAGCGCCCCCATTCACACGAAGTGCACATTTGAAGGGTGTGGTTGTCCAGTCCAATGGAGAGTACCTTCCTCTCCCTGGAAATGGAATATTCTGTCCAAGTAGCACTTCCCAAGACATGCGTGTGACCCCCTCAGGAAGCAGGTACCATCTGTCCCCTGCTCTGTGGTCTCCTCCAGGCAGAGGTGGGGGGCTCTGAACGGGACAGCTTCAAGCAAAGCTGCGTGAAAACTGGGGATTGTCAAAGTCATCCGCCATTTGCTAACTCGCTCTCCGTGCCTTTGGTATCTCCATCAATAAAAACTTCAATCTGCTACCCAGTTTAGGAACAACCTATCCTGACGCCTTGCTCTTCCCCTAATCTTTGCAAGTTCTGGCTGCAGAGCCATCCATTCTCAATGATATTCATTTTAAAAGGTTAACAAACGAGAAACTAAACCAACCATACAAATAACAGCCCAAAGAGCACTTTCCACAATGTGTTGCTGTAGGGCCATTTCAAATTTAATATTCATGCCGAGGAAAGCTAAAGACCACCAAACCAGGTGGATAAAATAGTACCGCAGTTTATGACTCCTTCCTAAATGAAATCTCTTAAATATTGCTAATGAAGCCAGCTCTCCCACACAGCCTGCCCAGCGCCCTTTTTAGCCGCTTCAGTTCCATTTTCCTGTCTAGCAATTTGCCCCAGGCCCCTATTAAATGAATTATCACGGCCCCTAAATCATCTCTGCGGGGGTTTCCTCTAATCCCATCAAGACACTTAACTCCTTTTCTTTCTTCCTGGTGACATAATGAGTTATTATTTCACGGGGAGCCATTAAAGAGGCCCCTTTGGAAGAGTGGAATGTGCCGGGCCCTGGCGGCCTGGAAGCTGGTGGCTCTGCTGCCTGCCGGGGACAAAGAGGCCACCAGGGCCACGGAGCGCTCCAGGCCCCAGGCTGCAGCTCGATCCAGGAGGCCCTGGGCAGCTGCGCCCAGCCCAGCACAGGGAGGATACAAATGCTTTCCTTAAACAGAGGAAGCAGGGCACTCACAAACCACTTGCGGGGTAGATTAAGCTAATTTATTAAACACAGTGTGCCTGGTGACTGAGCTGAGCAGAGTAATGATTTACAATTAAAATAAAAAACATTAATATGAGAAAGTCAGAGACTACTGTGGCCCTGATGCTGGGGACCACAGCCGTCCGGACAGGGTGTCGGTGGCCGGGCTGGGGACCCAGGGTGGTTCTGGACAGGCTCTGATTGGGCTGGGCCCACTTTGGGCAGCAACCTAGGAGGGTTATAGCAGGTGACCGCGAGGGACAGCTGGCCTTGGAGGTGATCACTGTCCTTGGGATTGGAGGAAACAGCTCTGTTGTCGCAGAAGAGGATGCAGCAGGCTTGTCAGATTGTGTTTACTACATTTGGTTTCTGAGGTGCCCAGACCACTCTGCATAAACCTTGGTCCTAGATATTCTAGGGAGAGCGCTGTCATTGGAGACTTTGGAAACCTGAAACTCTGGGACACATTTGCCCCACCCCCAACTCCACCACTGGTCTTCAGGAGCTCAATCAAAATAAATGTTCCGCAGCACCTGTCGGGTTATATTCTGAAGTAAAGAGCTCCGGCCATACACCCCACCCAAACACACAGCTTAAAGAAGAAGAAGAAAGGAAGAGAGGAAAAGAAAGAAAGAAAACCAAAACATTAAAAGTAGATCTATTTATAAAGAAAACACTGATATCTGATGGCTTTTCATGGCTACGGTTCCCACCATGACAACTGTGGAATATCCGAATGCTGCACCAGTTTACCATAAATTTTAATGTATGGGGAAACTGTTCAGTTGTCTGTAGCTGATGCCCTTTCTTTAGAATTAGCTCTTCAGCCAAGGATTGCGTTTACTCAGATAAGTAGATACTCAAGCGTGACAGCTCTGCTCTCTCAGTGGCGGAGTCGTTGCGACAATCGGGTGGGACAACCTCCTATCCCGGGAGATAAATAGTATTGTTGTCAATGACATGCTCTTCCAAAATGGAGAAACAACAGCTCTCAGTAGAATTCCAAATGAAACAGGGTGTGCAATGCCTGTATTCCTGGGAAGTCTTGTGTATTAAAAGTACATAAAAATGCTTTTTGTTATATGAAAACTAGCACTAAAGAGCACTAGCAAGGCCCCCTTTTAGTTAAGAGAATGCCTGGGAGAATAGTCAAAAGTGTCACGTGGCCCAGACAATTGTTTGAATACTAATGCACCCGTCTTTGGGATTAGCAATGCCTCCTTTGACACTCAGGGGCCCAGAACATTGATTTTTAAATTCTCATTTTATTTTCTGTGTATGGGTGTTTTGCCTAAATGTACACCTGTGTACTACTTGCAGGAAGTGCCTGTGGGTAGCAGAAGAGGCTGTTGGATTCTGTGGAGGTGGAGTGGAGGCTGGGAATCAAACCTCTGTCTTCCGGGACAGGAGCGAGGATGCTTAACTGTTGAGCCATCTCTCCAACCCTGAGCATTGGTTTTCGTAAAAATTCCTGGGGGAAAGTAACTGTTTTACATTTAGAGGGTCTGTAGGCCCTTGGACAGCCGTTCTTGGGTGCACAGAGTCCACGTGTGCCAGGTTGTGAATGCCTACAGTGGAAACAGAGGGGCTAGAAGGGCGGGGTGGGGAGAATGTCGCCTGTTTATGCTCCTGTGAGGACTCCCTTCTGACTACTGCTCACTGTCCTGTGAGGACTTCCTCTGACTACTGCTCACTGTCCTGTGAGGACTTCCTCTGGCTGCTGCTCACTGTCCTGTGAGGACTTCCTCTGGCTGCTGCTCACTGTCCTGTGAGGACTTCCTCTGGCTGCTGCTCACTGTCCTGTGAGGAGGACTCCCTTGTAGCCACATTGCCTTCGAGTTCTGAGTACTATACTCAAGGGAGGGCCTGATCAGTCACCTCCCTCACTCTAGAAGGGGACATGAGTTGCTCCACAGCCTTTGGCAGTTCACACGCTGTCCACTTCTCCTGAACCTGTGTCAGCAAGAGCCCCAGCTTCGCTCTGCTTGTCCTTCTTAAGATGTTTGACTCCAGAGCTTAGGCTGTTGCTTTTTTAAATATATATATTAAATATATATAGTTTATCGAAGTGTAGAGCTGTGGTGGTTTGAATAAAAACAGCCCCCATAGGCTCATAGGGAGTGGCACTATTAGGAGGTGTGGCCTTGTAGGAGTAGGTGTGTCACTGTGGGGTGGGCTTTGAATTTCAGAAGCCCAAGCCAGGCCCAGTGTCAGTCTCTTCCTGCTGCCTGGCACCGATCCCGATGTAGAACTCTCAGCTCCTTCTCCAGCACCACGTCTGCCTGTGTACTGCCTTGCTTCTTGCCATGATGATATTGGACTAAACCTCTGAACTGTAAGCCAGCCCCACATGAATGCTTTCCTTTATAAGAGTTGCCACGGTCATGGAATCTCTTCACAGCAATAGAACCCTAAGACAAGAGCTTTACCCGGATGCCTGGTGCAGGCCTCAGAGCTGATCCTTCCTTTTCCTGGCTTGTCTAGACGTTTTGGGGTACTGCTTCTACCTTTGAATTCAGAAGCTCACCCTTCTACTTCTGTATCATCTCCACATCAGAATATTAGTGAGAAAAGCTGTGTGGTTTCTCTGCCATTTGTAACATTATGTGAGTTTGTTGGCTATTTCGGCATGTGCCGTCACAACTCCATGGCCATCCATAGCACCAAACATCAGAGCTAAAAGAATAAGGCCTTGGACTATTATGGGGTTCAGTCTTTGTGTTTGGCATTTGTTTTAAATCTTTGGGAAGGCTGGTGCCGGCCACTCCCAACGCTGGCATCTTGTTAATCCCAAAAAAGACTGTACCACAATAAAGGGAGTTTCTAAGAGGCAGAAATTTCCTATAACCCTATTATTTTAACAAAATAACTTTCATTTTTTTCCCCCATGTTCCTTTCCATGGTTTCTAGTTTTTGTTCAGGATTTTTTTATGCCTCATACCTAATTTTTCTGTTTTCTTTCAAAATATCTTTTCATACTCAGTTAATATGTAATAGCCGTGCATATTTTTCTTGTCACACAATGCATGTACATAGTATGTAATGATCAGGCCAGAGCAGTTAAGTGAATTTTCTAGATCTCTTTTCAGATATCCGGTATGATTAGATGTTAGCCTAGACTTACTCTAGATGTGCGTAACTCGGCTAAAATGGGCAATAAAAGGCCCTGGGCACAGCCTCGGGTAAGTGGCCTAAGTAAGCATCTTTGCAAGCCTTACAGACCAGCGGGGAGAGAAGATGGCGACCGCACTTTAGCAGCTCTCTTACACATGAGACGTCTGAACAGTGAGAAGTGTGAGGACCAACGGGTCCCTGAGCGGCTGCCTCAGGCCAACCCCATCACTGGTTTGGAGCAGTTTTGTTTGGCGACTCTCATCCTGAGTTTGGGCTTCAGTTGTGCAGTTGAATTGGTGTGTCGCGGGGTGGGGCTGGGGGTGGGGTGGTGGAGGCGGAGTGTTGGACGCTAGAGGACAGTGCAGAGGTGACCCCACACACATTACCTTTGGTTTTGAGGGGCACTGGGCTAAGTATGGGACACTTGATGACATGACTTCCTCATGCCACCTTCTCTGTTTGTCCCTCTCCCCACAGTGTCTGGACAAATGAGTCCTTACCAGGAAACCCAGCTGGGGCTGGTGTTTAGTCACTGTCAAGAGACCTCAGCTAAAGTCTGTGTAAAAACTGTCTGCTCTCCTTGTTGCTGGCTGCCCTACAGGATCTCACTGTGAACAGACCCTGGGGAAGGCTGCCTTTTACTGGGTGTCTGGTCTGCTGAGTGTCTTTATACTTCACAACAACCTTATGAAGTAGAACATCTCTCCTTCAGAGGTAAGAAATCATCAGAGTTTAAGTGTCTTACACAGAACAATGACTGGATTACTGTCATAGCCCGAGGTAATTTCATTGTGTGATATTATGTCTATTTAAGAACATATATATGAGCACTATAAAACAACACTGTAAGATCCTAAGATTTATCTCTCATTTAGGAAGTCAGGAGAAGGTGAGCAGAGAGACCTAGGGGTTTTCAACAACAGGAAGAAGGTGGGATGTCCCCTGACTTCTCTCTGAACAGAGCACAGGATATTCCTGTAATTAAGGGAAGGACGGAGACATGGAAAGTTGGCAAGAAGAAATGACCCTAAAGCAATGGCCTTAGAGGCAGGCCCAGCACATTTCTCCTGATATAAAATGTCAAACTCAGAATGCATACATTATCACATGGACTTCTGTCACCAAGCAGTAAGTGACTATATATCAGCTGCTAACGTAGGTCCCCAAGGCTGAACTTTGTATCAGTTCTTGGTGGAAACACTTGCATATGATTCTCTAGCATTACTAACAATTGCCTATAAGACGGAGTAAGGAAAACCTGACCTCACTTAGCAATGTGCACTGCTTAGAATGGGAACAGGCAAGCCACAAAAAGTAATGCTATTTTCTCTCTCCCCTTAGGGATTTTTTTCTGGGGGGTGTTGTTTAATTTTAAGTGTGTGTGTGTGTGTGTGTGTGTGTGTGTGTGTGTGTGTGTGTGTGTTCGTGTGCCCTCATGTGCACAAGTAGAGCAGAGGTCACTTTAGGGTGTTGTTCCTCAAGAGTCACCCTATTGGTGAATTTTTTAAGGCCACTCCACGTAGTTAAAAGGGAGGTTTATTTTGTGGGGTAACTTACAAGTGAAGGGATAGTTTACAGGGTCTGGGAAAGGTGTAGCGCAGTCCGGCGGTGATCTCTGGAGAACTCTGCTTAGTCTACCTCCAGCATCCAGGGTCCAGGAACCAAGAGAGCCAGTGCATCCAAGTCTTTAGGGTCCTCTCTTGGCCTCACCTTGTAGGCGTGACAGTTACCGAAGCCTCAGTGGGGCTTGGAACTTCCAGATCAAAGCTGGAATGGCTACCCACCACATCACCCACATTGTTTTCTGAGACAGGGTCACTCATTGGTCTAGAACTTGCTGATCAGGCAGGATGGCTGGCCACTGAGCCACAGGGATCTGCCTGTCTCTGCCTTACTACCTTTTATTTTTGTGGTGTGTGTGTTTGTACATGTGTAAGCATGCCACAGGACATAGGTGGACGTCAGAGGATAACTTGGGGGAGTCAGTTATTCCTTCCACCGCGTGGTTCCCAGGGATCAAACCCAAGTCCTCGGGTCTGGCAGCAAGTCCCTTTACCCGCTGAGACATCTCACTGGCCCACCACCCAAGGAAGCCAGGACCTGATCTTGGCACTGTCTAGTTCATATAAAGACAACTAAGCTTTGCTAGTTTTAATGGTCTTGTTTCTAAGACAAAAATAACTGGCTAGGGTCTTCTTTGAGGATAACTGCATCTCTGGCCTATCTCTTGCCTCAGGTGATCAGAATCCCATGACCACGTGACTATCAAGGGCCGTGTTTTGTGTGTAGCCCCTGCAAGCACCGAGTTCCTCCTGAAAACCCATGTCGGAATCTGTAACATGACCAAGCCTTCTCAGTTCTAAATGGCTTGGGCTGCTGTCCCTATACCGTGACATCAGAGCTCTGGGACACCCTGGGTCCCCATCAGCTGATCCTCAAGAATGTGACTCAGGGGAAGATGATGGTCCCAAATGTTTTCTTCCGGCTATTGGCAAGTGTGTTTAGTTATGCCATCCACACCAAGGAAAACAGCGGTCACGAAACCTAGAATGTTTGAATGTTCCATGATTTATTACCAGGGCAAAAGAAATACTGCAGACCACAAGACCATTTATCAAGTAATTACATATCTTTCTGTAAGACGGCATGCACAGCCTCAGAAACAGTCAGAGCCAGCCCGTCTTTGGTTCTGGGCCCCAGTTCCTTCCTTGCCTGCTGTGACAGGATGATGTCAGATCTCCAACCCCAAATGCCTGGTCTAGCACCACTTGGTCCTGGAAACCTGATTGCAGGGTGGGGGTGGGGTACATCGAGAGAATACAAGAGGATCGACACACAGACACGTACAAGAAAAGCTGGGGTTCGCTTACTCTGATGGGACAGCAACACCTGTGCAAGCAAGTGGGAACCTCAGAGCTTTTAGTCCATACGGTACAGTACGAGATGTTATCAAGTCTCCGCAGGACGTCTCTGTCAGGGAGCAGTCACAGGCTGCAGTCATCGGGGAGAAGGAAGCGACAGTGGCTAGTTTTCGCACGTGCTGGCCAATCATTTCTAAACACTCTACTTACACCAGAGGAAGGCTTTGCCAATTCCCACGGGTCTGAAGCCCTGGGTACTTGACATGGCTGTGCCCATATTAACCACACACATTCACTCAGGGCTTCCTTAGGTCCCCACACCCAACCTTGAGAGTCAGCCACATCCGCAGTGGGGCTCTTACAGAAGTGACCTTCTTCAAGCGGGGTTTCCTTAGTGCTACTTCCAGTTTGTGCCATTCAGCTGCTCCACTTCCCCGATGAGCATCCTCCTAGAATTAGAGCGAAAGACGGCGCTGGTGTCCTAGGGTACCGGAACATCTCACTGTAATGGCTTCACTTTGGGTCTTACTCTTTCCCTTCTCTGCCCCTCCCCCCTTTCCCCCTGTAGGTCCTAGTTCTTATCGTCTCACATTTGAATAAACATTCCCATGAACAAGCTCTTTCACGCATTTCTATTTTCTTGTGCTCACAGTCCTAAACAAATCTTAATGGATTTCGTCTGCTTCATAACACCTGGGGCCAGGTAGAGTCACGGTGTTGTCACATGCTCACAGGGATCAGAGGTCACACACTTCTCAGCCAGAAGGTATCCCCGTTGATCCTCAGCCCCATTTCTCTGCAAGTTATCTTCATCTGTAACATCCCTTCTTGGAACTAGATTTCTTTGGAACAAAAAAAAAAAAAAAAAAAACCTGAGAAAACAGTGATGGCTGACTCACGACCCTCCCCTCCTGTCTTTACAAACCAAAATTCACTGTTGCAGTGGTTCTCAATCATCCTAATGCTGCGACCCTCTAAGACAGTTCCTCATGGTGTGCTGACCCCCCCCCATAAAATTATTTGGTTTCTACTTCATAACTGTCACTTTGCTACTGTGATGAGTCACAATGTAAACATCTGATATGCAGGATTTCTGATATGCTACCCCCAAAGGGGTCATGACCCACAGGTTGAGAAACGCTGGGATATAACGCATTTCTGAGTCTCACTACTAAATGCACGACAGAAAATTCTCTGGCACAGTCTCTAGCCTCCTCCCTAGCATGTATTGCTTATTCATTCTAGGTTTCAAACCCAAAAATTAAGCCAGAGAAGTAACCTTGCATTATGGTAGAATCAAGCAAAGCTCAATTTTTTTCCCTGCAAGCAGCCCCTTCTTGCTTTAATTCTATCTGGGCAACAATGGATGGTTTTCACTCTCCTACTTTGAGACTCACTTGCAGAAAATGCCTTGGAGTCATCACCATTATGTAGCTATTTACTCTGGAGTGGAAATGGCTGGGGTGACTACAGAACACTGGGCCATGCAGCCAAGGAAGTGGAGCGGGGAAACAATACACGAACATCTAGGTCTGTAGTTATGATAACAGCGCTGTCAATATTCTCTGCTGAGGGAAGGGTGGACGCATCAGATCCTCACCCCAGGATGCCTGCCTCCCTTGCTCTCCTCTGCTGCCAGTTTCTTGCCATGGTAGACTCTTATCTCTCTGGAACCGTAGCCTCAGATAAACTCTTTCTTTTATAAGTTGCCTTGGTCATGGTGTTTTATCAAAAAAAAAAAAAGAAAGAAAGAAAGAAAGAAAGAAAGAAAGAAAGAAAGAAAGAAAGAAAGAAAGAAAGAAAGAAAGAAAAGTAATCAATGCAAGCACCCTCCTATAACCTGCAAGAAATCTTTACCTCTGATTCCAGGGAAGCCTGTCCTAGAAATGACTCAGGCAAAAATATTAGAAATGACATAAGGCAGCTCAGGGGCAGAACCATAAACCCCAAATCTGCCTTTCTCTGCAGTTATTATATTCATGGAAGAACTTTGGGGTATCAGTTGCAAACACGAAAAGATATTAAAATATATTAAGATTATTTCAATAAATGAGACCTGGATTTCAGAATATTTTTTTCTTCAAACAAAAACACCAAAATATCACTTTAAACATCATACTTGTGAAAATTAGAATTTTATCCAATAGAATATTATTACTGGAAAGTCTGAGGTAAAGAGCAGTATTCGTACCTTGGTATTATGGGTATTGTTTTTAAAGAAGCCAATAGTTTGGGATTATAGATGCCTGGAGTGATGAAGGCAGTCACCTGAGAAGATGGGACAACCAGGCAACAGAGATGTTTCAACACTGTGCCCCATGTGGGTGCCTCATCAGGACTGTATTTTAAAAGCCTTTTCTTAAATTGATTTATAGTAACATTCAGTGGCTATTTTATTCAACACAGTTACAATATTGAGGCAGGATCTATGAGTCAAGTAGGGAATGTACTTCTGTATTCTTTAAGAACAAAACTTTACTGGGCTATTTAAAAAATTCTTATATTAATGAGATCATACAATACAGACTGGATTTGTAACTTACAACTCACATTGTTACCATAACCATGTCTTCTTCATACTCTCATATTCATCCTCCCCACCATCCCTTCCTTTCTCTGGTTTTCATATAGCCCAGGTTGGCATCAAACTTGTTATGTGGTTGAGGATGACCTTGAGCATCTTTTGAACCTGTTTAGTTGTTAATCACATTGTGGTGTTCTCAACCTATGTACAGAATTATATTGATGACCACTTTGACTGGAGTGAAATGGAATCTTAGTGTAGTTTTCATCTGCATTTCCCTGTGAGCTGAGGATGTTGAACCCCTTTTAAGGTGTTCTCTGGCCATTTGTATTGCTTATGGTGAGGACTTTCTGTTCAGTTCCACAGCTTGGTTTTAACTGGGTTGTTTGTTTTCTTGATGTTTAGTATTTTGAGTTCTTCATATGTTCTAGACACTAAGCCTCTGTTAGATACACAGATGGCAAAGATTTTCTCTGATTTTGTAGTCGCTGGATTGACCACTTCCTTTTCTGTACAGAAGCTTTTTAGTTTCATGAGATGCCATTTGTCGACTGATAGTATCCTTCCCTGGGCTATTGGGGTCCTGTTTAGAAAGCTCTTCCATGCGTCTATAACTTGAAGTGAACTTCCTACTTTTTCCTCTGTTTTAGAGTGTTCAGTTTTATGTTGAGGTCCTTGGTCCATTTGGAGTTGAGTTTTGTGCAGTTGAGTTACCTCCCTCCAAGATACTTGCCAGAGAGGCTGAAAGGCACCCAACATAATACAGGTTATTGGTTGTCACCATAACCAGATGGTAAGACACTTTTACTGAAGACACCACACATTTCAGTTGCAGGATACAGAGAAATCAATTTTGAGTTGACCAGGAAGCTCGCCTTGCTGGCTAACTTCCATAGTGCTGGCTACTGGTGCCATACAGGCTACTGGACGACGAAGACATCAGTGGTCTTACCCAGCACTGGATCCTTTGTGCCACAGTACTGACATACCAAACAAGATGTGCTCACTGGTGTCAGACTGTTTATGGGGGAAACCAACTGCACCCCTCATTAGAACTGAATCACGTTCCATTGGAGGGAATTTATGCCTGGCACTTACTGGAAACATGGTTGAAACCCATGGCCATGGAAATGATAGCTTGTAGGCAAGAACATATTGATGTTGTCTTTCTAAATGCTGTCGACTCTTTTAAGTGTTTATGTCTATAAATTTATGCTGCTCCCAACCTTGGTCAGAGAAGCCTCTTACTGCAGCGGGTAGTGGTCAGTATAAGAGACGGCTTAATGTCAAGTACTTAAAAGGAACTCTGATTGCTTGGCTGTAGATAATCTACATCAGCATCCTTTACAAAGCTCAGGGTAACACTGAGGAAGGGTGGGAAAAAAAGAATGTAAAAACCAGAGATGGGGAGGGGTGGCGTGTGAAATGCTGTGCTCTGGACATGACAACAGCTGTGGTTACCTACACAAGATCTGCTCAAGATCAAGCCAGTCACAAGTTCCAGCGTGGACGGGGGGTTGGGGGGGAGGGGGGAAGGTTGGGGGGCTCTCAAGGCCCCACCTCTAGTGGAAGAGCTCTTGGTAGTTCCTGGAAGAAAGAGAGTCACTTTTCTTTAGGAGTGTGGCCCCTAGTAAGTTCTCCATGCCCTAGTAGGTGACCCCACACTCATGTATACTCAGTGAGTTAAAAAAAAATTAAACAAATAAATCATTATAAAAGGGGGACATGGGGTTGGGAGGGAGACACTGTGGGTGATGCTGGGGGGGATTGGTGAAGGGGATGAGGTGTGGATATGATCAATACACCTTGTAGATATGTGTGACATTTTTAAAGATTAAAAATTTTTTTAAGAATTATTTTTGATGTTGCATTGAATCTAGGGATGTTAGAACTCTTGGGGGATCGAACTATTTATCTTCATGAAACAAATTTGGTACTTCCACTCTCTAATACAAATTTTAGTTTTTCTCAAAATGCAGACGATTACATTTTCTTTTTCATAGATGATTCATTTGAATATGACTATAAAACAATTCCTTTAAAAATACCCAAACTTCAATTTAACTCTAAATCTGTTCTTGAAATGACCTAAACATTTGCTTTGACTTGGTTTTATCTTGCCTCTTCCAGACACTAAAAGGAGGACGAGAGAGGACCCTGCTTCAACGACTCAGTTTTTGTTTATATTTGTGTATGGACCTTTTCTTTCTCTGTCCCTGGTCTGCAAAGTCAATTGCAAAAAGCTACCAAAGTCTGGCTACATCCTCATAGAGACTGTTTAAATCCATTACTTTCTCTTTTAATCAAATCACTGTTGTGTCAAAATACACCATTCTCGCCATGAATCTCCCCAGTCTGTCACAGGTCACCGGGTGCACCTTGAAAATGTTTGCTCTCCTAAAGCGGTTTCCCTCCAGCCTCCAGCTAAATTGCTCCACACCGAGCCTGATCATTTTTCCTATATACATAGAACTCTAATTAATATAAACACGATGGCAAAGGGAACTGGTACTTTACAAAGGAAAGAAGGCAGAAAAAGCCCAGCTGATAGATACACCATGCCTCGTTTAAATGAGATGGGCATTCACACAGGAAAAAAAAATTATTCAAATTACATTCAGAAACCACAACCAAAAGCAAGCCTGAAAATTCCCTAGCTTGGAATGGCTGAGAGATTTCTTTCCTGCTTTAAGAAATATCTTATATAAAGCCGCCAGAGGGCCGGTAAGGGAAATGGTAATTATGTTTAAACAGCCAACATTTCACTAGCATAAAATATTTGTACAGGCTCTTAAACACCGAGTTAAGCGCCAGAGGCTATTTTCATTGTTTAATGTATTAAGTAAATAAAAATGTATCTAAGATGTGGACACACAATTAGTTTTGAGTTATTTATCCTGGAGTTTGTATGGCTTAGAAAAACTCCATCTTCTTGGCTGGTGCTGTCCTAACGCATTTAACTTCAGCCATCAGCCATGATTAAACACCTGCTGTTGTGGGGAAACAAAGCACACTAATCCAATATGTATTTCTGACATCTTAAATATCACCCAGTC